CAAACACTATTGATCCCCGAAATCCTTTGTAATACCAATGTTCACTTTGTCTGGTTTTGTTGCAGCATGCCCCATATCAATATCTGTGTCATTAAGAGATGACCCAACTCCACTCATTAAGATAAAGTTGGCACTTGTCTTTGATGTTTTTCCACATCCAACATAACAAGGAATATTAATCACACCACCTCCCTTTCAAAATTGAAAATATCAGCATAAATAGGCTTATAAACCTTTAAGACATAATCATTTCCAAGTAAGTAAGCAGTACTTGTTGCGCCAGTTCCAAGTATCTCTGTCGCCTCAAATATTTTTTCTTGATATTTAATTGTTGGAAGTGAAAATCCAAGAAGTTCTGATGTTGATAAACAAAAGTGTGCAAGATAATGGGATCCAACTTTTCTAAATGGAAGGATACCAGTTATATAGAAATAGGTATCATTATTTTCAGTCAATACAGCTTTAATGAATTGAATATGATGACAAGTTGTCAAATCCCTGTTGCCTCCTTGTGATCTAGGTTTAATTGTAAAAGTGTTTCTAGAAATTGACATAACTCTGCAAGAGATGTGGCTTTCACCCATTCATCCTCTTTTTCAGTGACTTTGATCTCTAAAACAGAAACAATATTGATATTTGAGATGGCTCGATCTTGCAAATAGAAGATAATATCTGGTTTTTGTCCCTTAAGAATAGGTTTCTGGTGAGTATCTACATGTTTCAGTTGCATGCTTGGGTATTTGGAAACAAAAATATCCAGCTTCTTCATAAGATAATGTTGATAGACTGTTTCTAATTTGCTTAAACTTTCTTCTTCTTGAATAAGTTTTGCATCTGCATAGCTTGGAACATCTGAAAAATCAAACCCATCATGTGCAGTATCTTTTTCCTCTGTTCAGGAATTGAAAGATGATTATTTTTCACTCTAGTTTCATAATAATGTGAAAGAATCATCAATGACTAGTTGTTTCTGTAATTTTGATGGTGTTGATGATGAGTAACTAAATTTTCTCTTGAAATGGATGGCTTCTGAAATAAATAGAAATGGAAATAGGAAATATCATTAATATTTCACTATACAAGCAATGTAATTTAATGTTAAACATGGAATGGAATGAATAAAAAATAATTTTTTTTATTTTTTTACACAATTACCCTCTCCTTTTTCTTTATTGAATTTGGTTAATTCTTTTTGTAAATACCGCATCTGCTCTCCACATTTCTTCTTATCCTCCTCCAACTCTTTCTTTCCCTTCCAATATTCCTTTTTCGCCAACATACATCTCTGGCTCTCCTTCTCTTAACTTCTCCAGCCTTTCCAACTTCTTCTCTATCTTTCTCAACCTCTCCTTTACTTCTTCTAACTCTTTTTCAATTTTTTTGTATGTCGCCATCTTGTAAAAAAAAAGATTGTAAAAAATTAGCTTTATTAATTTTTTTTTATTTGATTTTAGATTGTAATTATTACAATTAATTGTTTCTATAATTTCGACCAATGATAAATTAGTGGCACATGACTTGGAATTTATTGACAAAAGAAATTAATTCAAGTAATAATGGAAAAATACATAAATGACATAAAAAAGTAAGTTAAAAAAAATTGTCAGAGCACTTGCATGGAAGGAAAAGCATTCGGACCAAAAGCCATTGTTAACAAAAATTCAACCTTCACTTATTACATTTGCATAAAGGAAATTTTTTTTTGTATATTAATATATGGGGTAGACTGCAACAAAACCAGACAAAGTGAACCAGGAATTTCAGGGATCAAATTTAACATCACTATTTGCATTATTATATATTAATATTAATATCAATTTGATATTGTTTTATTTTTATTTTTTTTAGCAATATATAAAAACTATTCTTATATATAAAAATATAATACGCGATTATAAATTAAATAATATATTTTTGTGATAACAGATAATAATAAAAATATCTGATTTTCAATATAACTTTTCTAAAAACCATTCCACTACACGAATTCTTCAGACTAATTAGAGACCCCGACCAGTTCCTATTTAAGCAATATTTTTACTTGTGGCGTATCTGGAAGTTTGCGAATATAAGACATTTGTGTAGGTGGTGTAAATTGATCACTTCGATATTTGAAATTCTTTGAACGCGTTCCTGCCATTACAAAGAATGAAATTTGTGAGCAAAAATGTATCATTATAAGCTTAAAAAAAACATGGCATATACCTCCAAAGCAACGAAATGACTTATCGCGAATTCTGCTAACGGAATTGCAGATTTGTCGACTACCACCTTTGTTTTGAGAAACAGCCAGGAACGGTATAAACCGTCAAATTTTAGATCCATAATAAAGGATTCCATCGAATCACCTGATTATTGTAGAAACATAATTCATAAGAAATAATAATAAAACTTGTAATTTATCGAAAGCATATACATACCGAGGTTTAAAAATATAGCACTTTCGCCTGGACCTCCCTTTCTTTCTAATTGTTGGTTTATTGATTTTCTCCCTTTCAATTGAGCTTTCAACCTATCCTTTTTTCCTTGTAATGGTGTGAAACCCAATGGCTTAAACTCTGAGTTTAAGATTGCCACACCATTCACTAAACACGAAAGATCGGGTCTTGTTTTTGATCTTGCGGTGGCACGATTTAATCCAAGTTCATATTCTTTTTCGGGTCGATGAAACGAACGAGTAATTGGATATATGAACATATCACAATGTTCCTCCTCGGATAGCTTTGATGGGGCAACTTCCGGAATACTATAATATCTGTAATGTGTTAAAGAATTTATGTAAGTCACGAATTCACAGATAACAAAAAACATATCGTAAAACAAGTACATCAGGAAAATTTTTGCACAATTTTCCTGATGTAAACTTACAGATTATTGAACATGGATGCGACTATTCTGTTCAATTGAGATTTTACACTATCCATAAAAACGTCTCCGCCAACCAAGTGTCTACCAGCGGTATCACGAAGAGATGATGAAATCTCCAGTGTAAGTGGTGGTTCATTTATGTTGTAGGGATTAGTTTCCATTATCTCTTTCCATTCTTGATTAGTGAATATTGAGTATGGACATGGCCAACAGAGCACTATAATGGATGATAAAGCCCTGAATACAATAAGGAAAAAAGATGTTTTGATATATCTCAGTATGGTCATTGTGCTAGTCAAATGTTATATGTTCAAAATACTTACAGAAGTTCGTAAATATTATCATATTTTAAACCTTCTCTCTGTGCTTTCTTGAGAATATCTTTTTGATACTGGCGAAATCTATCTGTTATACAAGTACAACCAACTTCCCACTAAAAAACAGAAGTAAAATTGAGATATACAAGAAATAAAGAAATCAATATTTGAGATGTATATATACCTTAGCTTTTGGTTCACGCTTCAACTCTATTGAAATGTTTTTTAGATCAAATTTAATTTCTTCGTCGTTGTCTTCAAGCTCTTTATTAATATTATCAGAAGGGGGAAAAAACTCGAAGGAAAAATTTTCACTATTGTTTCTTAGTTGTAGATTTTCTGCATTAGGATCATTCGTCTCACATTTTGTCTGAATAGAAAATACACATGGGAATTTTATTTTCCCTCAACTTTATCACCTATAAATTTTTCTTTACCTTTTTACTTGAAATATTTTCTTCAATGTCAGCTTTATTTTCTCGCTTACGATGATAAGTTGGTGGTAATTTTATGTCTTCAATTACTTTTTCATTTGCGTAAGAATATTGAGTAGTATCATAATTAATATTATTTTTTTCCGATAATATTTCTCGTTTTGGTTCTTCGCTAAGAAAAAATTTATTTGATTTGTATTATTTTATATAAAACTAGAGTGACGACGAGTGGCGGGCGATAACCATCACCATCCTTAAAACACTTACCCTTTTTCTTCGGCAATAGCCTTGGAGTGGTTTTTTCTTCTTTTAGTTTGATTAAACATTTTTCAAAAAAAAAAAGTATTATTATTTGATCGACGTGTACACATTAATTATTTATCCTATTGGTTTTTTTTGGTAGGACAGACGCGAATTGATTTTTTTCTTTTTTTTGGAAAAACAATTATTTTTTGACAGAGTCCAAGGTGACAAAACGTGAGTGTTGTTGTTTGGTTTGGTTTGGGTCTCCTAAAGTAACGTGTTAATAACTAACCAGAGGTACTATTTTTTACTTGTATTGTCTTTTTTGGTTTATAAATATTTTAATTGGAAATCAAAACGCGGAGCAGATCATTGCTGGGTAATTACAAGATTTTCATTGATAATATTTTGCTTTTCGTAATCATTAATAATATTATTATAAATATTATAATTACAAGATATCAGGGCAGCACACCGTTGAATATGAGACATTTTGAGCATGTGATGCTTGATTACAGGAAAATGGCAGATGTTGAAGCATGCACGCTACCTTGAACAATTTACAGTCATTCTCTCACATTCCTCGTGTACATAAGGCTAATCTGACCTGCATCCCTCGATGGATATGATATGCAGTTGAATTCCAGGGGAGGAGCGCATGGCCCTGGAATTTATTAAAGCTTGCATCAATCATCAATGATGTTTTCACTAATCTTCCCAGACCAGAGATGGCTGCTGGCAAAAAATTTCCTGCAATGATCCCACCTCTAGGGTAAGGATGGCTCTGCAACCAAGTTGTGTTTTGAAGAGTTGTGATATTGGGTGTGCATAAACATCCAGATCCATCAATACAACAAGAATCAGCAACTTGTTCCAAGCACATGAGATTGCAATTCAGAGCTGGGTCGGTGGCCCTGAAATTGCATTTGGCTCTGTTGTTAAGAGGAAAGTTGTAAAATAGTGTTTGTTTTGTATAATCATTTTCGTAAATGCTCTGTTTTTTTGATATAACCAATTTATAATTTTGGGTAGGGGTTTTTGCCCAATCATTCCTCTGTTATATAGATTAAAATTATCGCATGATTATATACATCCTTGTCAGCAATATGGCCAACAAGAAAAAAGTCATAAAATGGTTCGGATTTTGTTTGGTATGTTATAAATTAATCATTTTCATAAATTTTCTGCTTCTCTTTAATTTTTATTTGACCAACTGAATCTGTTATTTAAATGGGGGTAGGGTTGTTGGTGAGTAGGCATGCCACTGACAAGACAGGGATATACCAGCCAAACTCATAGAAAGGGATCTTTTGTCCAGACTTAGGGTCACATGGATGTTAAGCACAGAAAATGTACACTATCAATGTATATTTTTTTCAACAAAATAAACATTTAAATAATTAATTGTTATTAATACTTTTCTTTTCATAAAAATTACAGCAACTCAAAACTCTGAATTCAGGGAAAATCCAAAACAGCAATCCAGGTTGCAACCTCTTGAGTTGCTGAATTTTCAACCAGTTGCAGGTCCCAACTTTTATGCTAGTGTTGCAATAACACACAGCAATCATCACACAGGCACCAGCTATCAGTGATCAATGCCCATATATGTAACAGCCAAGCCTGGTCTGAGAGAAAGATAAGGGGAAGTTTTGTCCAAAGCCTTCCAACATGTTCAACCCTCCTTCACCTGTGGAAAAAATTCCATAGTGCTGAATTGTGCTTAATTGCATCGCGATTGCATGTTTGTGATAGGAAATTTCAATTAAATCTGACACCTGTGATTGACATCAGATTTAATATTCACAGGGAACTATACAATGGGAACTACAATATTTTTTTGATCCTCCCCATTTATTTATTATTGTGCACTCCAGAGATCTGGGTAGACACATTATTAAAAGCTTCGTTTATGCATGGCCTTGGTATCATTACTACTTGGGTGATGCAATTGTTTGTTATATCAATGATGATATCAAATGTATTGAATAATAATCATGACCATTGTGAATATTTGTTGGATGGAGGCATTCACATACAAGGAAATGATTAAATAGCTAAGTCATGTTTGTTTTGCTAGACATATGATTAATTATATTTAAAATATACAATAAAAAAATTGCATGGAATCCAAGACTGCATCACTATGTCAATCAAGCTATCAAGCTGTTATGTTTGTGCATGATTTAAAATTCTTTTGTGCTAATTTAGGGTCCCATCTTTCTTTGCTTATTTATAATCTATTGGTTCTCTTTTTACTGGTCAAATGATGCCAACTTGGGTAATGGGGTATCAGCAAATATCAGAATCTGATTATTCTTTAAAAAAATAATCAAGGTATTAGCATACCAATAAGTTAATAATATTCTTAGTATTTTTATCATATAGTCTAAAAGCCTATTGGTAAATATTGAATGAGATTATCAGATACTCTTTTAAAATTAATCCTATTTTTTAATTAATTTAATAAACCAATAGCTCTTTTGTATTGTAATTAAATTATCGGTTAAATATTTCTAATCAAAATCTTGAGTAGCAGTTAGGGTTTTCTATTCAAATAAGGTTTATTTGAATAAAACAAATAATTCGAGTAATAATAAAACGAATAAAACGAATAAAGCGTTCAGCCAGAACTCGTTAAGACAATGCTTTGATAAACCAAATATACACAATAAGCCGATGTTGTTTTATTATCTACCTATCAAATTACCTCAATAAGCCGATTTTATTAAGGTTTTTTAAATCGAAGTTTTTTTTTTTGAAATATTGACTTCGGTTTAACAAGTTCTGACTGTATTATGAATAGAAACCATGCATTAATATTAATATTAAAATCAATAAATAAACAAACAAATAGCTTTTATTGCATTAATTTTGTTCCTTTGGTGTTAATGATTGAATCAACCACACAAGTAGTAGTCAATTTAAACAGCATTGTTTTTAAAGAAAATAATATTATTTAAATGTATAAAGTTTAATGATTTTTAATGTTGCAAATTTTTTGATACATCAATCTCAGTACAAAATCAATCATGTTTATATACTTTAAAGTTTCTTTATTTCTTTTTTTGATAAATAACAAATTTATCCTTTGTTTATTTGTTTTAGTAGATTTTGGTACACTATAGTGTATCAATTACACAAAAACATACTTTTTACTTTTAAAGTACAGCGAATTCTTGTTCCTTATATACATGTTTAATTAATTAATATCCCAGTCTGGGCGAATTATCCCATTTGGGATTATAGTCATTATCATTAATATTAAAAATATACGGAATGTAACACGAATACAGATATTTAATAAAAAAAATAAAAAAAAAAATAACGTCAAATTCAAATCCCGTTAATTTTTAACACATATAATAAATGAATCACAGCATGTACATATGTACACGATATTCTCATTTCTTTTCCTTTTTTAAATTCATTCAAAAATGAAAATGATATATTTGTAAAACTAAAGCTAATGTACATATATATAAGAAAGGTTCGTAGCTTTTTATGCAAACAATTTCCTTATTTGTATTTCTTTAGTCAAGGTTGACAAGCATTTCATGATAAACTGGACAGATTTTTCATCCATTTTTAATGCTAAATTATTAAACAATCCTAGAAAAACATACAAAGTGAACATAAAATTATATAATTATATATATAGGGATAGGTGTATATGAAAAGTAATAATAAATATAATAGTTCTTATGAATATGAAAAGGCCATTGATTTTTTAGTAAATGTAGTTGTTCTTCAAGAATTCCTAAGGAAGAATTTGCAGAATTAAGAGAATCCTTTCAAGCTCTTTCTAAAACAGAGCAAGACATATTTTTAATGGCCCAACTTAAAGCAATGGATGGAGGGACAGTAAGCACCCTTATTTTGAAAATATCAGAAATCACCTAATAAACAATGGTCTTTTACCAAGAATTCATGGTAATATTAAAGGATGCCTCAATGGAAAACTAAGATGGTGATTGATAAAATGTTGCAGAAATAGCAAAGAATTTTCTAGAAAATTATACTGAAGTCCATGTATTATCAAGTCCAGGAAAAAGTAACAATGGAATAACTCAATCAATTACATTCTTACCAGCTGAAATGAGTTATAAATCAGTGCACAGAG